TCTATCCATCTATCCCTCTATCCATCTATCCGTCTATCCGTCTATCCGTCTATCCGTCTATCCGTCTATCCGTCTGTCCGTCTGTCTGTCTGTCTGACTATTGGTCCAGCCCTGAAACTTCAGTCTAGTTTTCTCTATTTCTGTATGTTCCATGCTGGGCTGGTTTCTGTTTGTCTGCAGTGGTCTAGAGCCTGTCAACCTCAAACAGAGGAAATGTGTGTTCTCAGGTCTTCACCCTCTCTCTCTCTCTCTCTCTCTCTCTCTCTCTCTCTCTCTAATAGAGTGAACGATGGGCCTCAGAAACACTGAGTGAAGAGAGCAGGACCTGCAGCACGTCTCTGATCATGCTAAAGGCGTCCTGAGATGTGTCGCTGCTCCAGGCCTCTTCTCAAGCGTGTGGTGTGACACACCGATACTGCTGACTCATCAGGAAAAAGTGCTTCATACAGAACACCGGCTTCTACAGCGCTCATCAGTTTGTGACATGCATCGTATCGTCCTCTGTAAGCCTTTTTAGATGCACAGTGTGTGTGGGGGGATGCAGAATGTCAGCTGATTTGGAGTCTGCAGGGGATTCTGCATCAAGGAGGGTCATCAGGGTGAGAGCTCTGTGTCTCATTCAGTATTCAGACACTGCAGAGGCACAGGCTGCCACCCGCATTACAGACACTCCTCCTCCCACTGCAACACACAAACCCAGCCTGATCCGTCACACTTCTGCCTGATGCTAGACTGCTTTAATGCAATCTATTTATCCTTTCTTTGGAGATTAACAATGAATATAACAAAAATTATTATGATAAATGATAAAGTAACCATTTCAGCTACACTAAATGGAATACTTTGGTTCCCCCGAATCTTCTGGATGCCTCAAATTCCCAAATTGTGGGAACTTCAATATAAATATATTTAACCCGATCTCATGAAAGTGCGTTTCAGTGGCACGATTTTCTGTTTCTATTTGGCGTACTATTTATTCGCAGAAATTGACTTTGGCGTGCTTATGGTATGCAATGGTTAGGTTTAGCAGTGTGAGGTGCGTATTATAGGCTATGTACGCCAAAAATGCATATCATATGCACGCAAAACTGCATATTATATGCACGCCAAAGTCACTTTCTGCGTAATAGCACGCAAAAAAAAATCGTGCTACTGATAGCATTTTCAAGTGCCTCAAAACCTTGACAGCTTCTATAGTGATTGCAGGAACTTTCCACTGAGGAACCCAAATGTAGTTTTCATGCATTTGGACGTTTTTGACCTTTTTATTTTATCCTCGCTTTTGTAGATGACAATCTCTATCCAAAAGGGATGAGTGGCCACAAAAGCAGATCGAGGCAATGAATGAGTGAGCTCTCTCCTGGGACTCTGTCTTTTTGCTCAGGGTTGCAGGCTTGCCCCTTCACCACCGCCCATGCGTCAGATGATGCTCGCGGTTTCTGGCTATAAAAGACGCCTGCGCGCCATCCCGACTGGCACTCGCTTTCTCTTTCTCTGTCTTCCCACATCCACACACTTACTTCACTCACTCGGTCTGTGATCTCCAGCGTTTCAGCATGAGCTATTCCGGCGATATGTACACGAGCAGCTCCTACAGGAAGATTTTTGGAGATGCGCCGCGGCGCGTCCCGACGGCGAGTTACCGCTCCGGAGCGCAGCAGCAGCATCAGCACCGCACCTACGGCTCCCCATCCCCAATGACCATATCCTCAAGTTACCGGACCAAACGCGGCTTCCAGCCCATGCCAGACACCGTGGACCTGACGCAGACCACCGCCATCACCAACGAGCTGAAGATCATCCGCACCAACGAGAAGGAGCAGCTGCAGGGCCTAAACGACCGCTTCGTGACGTTCATCGAGAAGGTGCACAACCTCGAGCAGCACAACAAAGTCCTGGAGGCGGAGGTCGCGCTGCTGCGCCAGCGTCACAGCGAGCCGTCGCGTCTGCACGATCTCTACGAGCAGGAGATCCGCGAGCTGCGCGCGCGCGTCGAGGAGCTGACGCACGAGAAGAGCCAGATGCACCTGGACTGCGTGCAGATGAACGAGGCTCTGGAGCGCCTCAAGGACAAGCTGGAGGAGGAGAGCCGACTGAGGGAGGAGGCAGAGAGCAGCCTGAAGGGATACCGCAAGGACGTAGACGACGCCACGCTGACGCGCCTGGAGCTGGAGAAGAAAGTGGAGTCGCTGCTGGATGAGATCGCCTTCCTCAGGAAGGTGCATGAGGAGGAGCTGCAGGAGCTCCAGGCGTCGCTTCAGTCCACGCAGGTATGAACCTCGGGTGTCATCCTTTAACACAAACTCTTTTGGCCAGCACTTTCCAGCTGTTCTGTTAACACTTACATACATGTGACCCTGGAGCACAAAACCATCATGAGGGTCAGTTTTTTTTAATTGAGATTTATACATCACCTGAATAAATAAGCTTTCCACTGATGTATGGTTTGTTAGGAGAGGACAATATTTGAAAATCTGGAATCTGAGGGTGCAAAAAAATCTAAATATTGAGAAAATCATCTTTAAAGTTGTTCAAATGAAGTTCTTAGCAATGCATATTACTAATCAAAAATTAAGTTTTGATATATTTACAGTAGGAAATATACAAAATATCTTCATGGAACATGATCTTTACTTAATATCCTAATGATTTTTGGCATAAAAGAGAAATGTATAATTGTGACCCATACAATGTATTGTTGGCTATTGCTACAAATATCCCCCAGCGACTTAACACTGCTTTTGTGCTGCAGAGACACACTGGGACACCATCTTAAACCAGCTAAGACCAGAGACCAGCCTTGGCCGAGTTATGTTTTTACACTGATTTACAGATTTACATCTCAAATAGCTACATAAAGTGCAATAGTTGCAATAGTTAATTCAAGTGAAACAAAACTACTCGGTTAAGACAAATACTGCAATAAAATATGCTTTGCATAAGTTCAATTTGCAGTATAAGATAGATCTTGGATTTGATTAAAAATAAATTACAAAAAAGTGTATAAATAAAAGTATGAGCATCATAGAAATCCACATTTTGCATATGATTTAAATAACATTTAATGCATATGCAAAATGTGGATTTCTATGATGCTCATACTTTTATGATGGTTTGGAAATTGCTACATAATATATACTGTAGAATGTTTTGTCAGGAAACAAATATGTCCTTACAATATTAAATATTATTATAATGTTAATATTTCGATTATAATTGTAATGATATTTAATTTATATTTTAATATTCAATATGAGTGAATCATCCTGACTGCATTGGTTTACATCAGTTATTTTAAAGGTCATATCAGGTATTTACAGGTTTTTCAATGTATGATAGAACTTGTGAAAGGCATATAAATACCAGAAATGCCGTGAAATACTGTGTTTATTAATAACTCAGCGTGTGGGCATGCGTGTCATGATTTACAGCACTGCAGCGCAGACATTCAGAACCAGAGCCTGCAATGCACCAGAACCTCCATTCATCTCTCTCACAACTTCAACATCTCCAAAAGTAGATTTAATGGGTCCAAGACAAGGATGAGCGCTTGGGGTGAAATGTATTGAAAGCTGAAAGGGTTGTTGTTGATGAGAAGTTCACACCGGTGTGCAGATGATGATGATGATGATGATGCAGCAGCGCAGGATTTTAGGTGTGGCTGCAGAGAGCTTCACACTCACTCTACTTCTGCACTACAGACGATAACATTTCCAGTTTCATTTAAAAGCATCCTGGATAAAAGTTATAAACTTTTCTTCAATGTTGCATCTGAAAATAAACCATCATCATCATGCATCTTCATGCATGGACTGCTGTTGTTGATGAAGTGGCTGATGAATTGCTGTTGTGTCTCAGTTTAGGCAGCTTCATTTTTCCTTATGCATTAAAACCCCTGAGTGTGCGCTCCATCCCACAGCCCCGAGGGCTCAAAACTTCATTACCACACATTACACTCAAAGACCGATTAAATGCACCATGCTTTTTCACTGCCAATGCAACTTCACTACCTGGTGGACATCGGTTTATTGATAAACTGTTTATTTATCAGTATACTCAAATAACCACTGACAAATCTGAGCAACATTTTATATAGGGAAAGAATGTCTCATATTTATGCCAACTAATATGTGACCCTGGAGCAAAAAACCAGTCATAAGGGTAAATCTTTTGAAAGTGAGATTTATGCATCAATGGAAAGTTGAGCTAATCTCTCCATTGATGTATGGTTTGTTAGGAGGACAATATTTGGCTGAGATACAACTAATTGAAAATCTGTAATCTGAGGGTGCAAAAAAAATCTAAATATTGAGAAAATCATCTTTAAAGTTGTCCAAATGAAGTTCTTAGTGTATAGCTTATATGTATAGCTGTAATTTACTTTCCCTTTTAGCTCAGATGTAAATGGGGATCTTTACTTAATATCCTAATGATTTTTGGCATAAAAGAGAAATGTATAATTGTGACCCATACAATGTATTGTTGGCTATTGCTACAAATATCCCCCAGCGACTTAACACTGCTTTTGTGCTGCAGCGTCACATTTATGCAAAAGTATATATGTATAGCTGTAATTTACTTTCCCTTTTAGCTCAGATGTAAATGGATGTTTCAGGAGATTAATTATTCATTAGGAATCAATAATGATTCAGCAACTAAATTGCAGTTTCCTCACCAGATCAATACTAGTCAGTTTTACAGACTAAAGACTATTTATAGTTATTATTGACCACACTCTAAAAAATGCTGGGTTGTTTCAACCCAGCGGTTGGGTTAAATTTTTACATTACATTTTTAACCCAAAAGTTGGGTTGAAACAACCCAGCGGTCTTTAGAGTGCACTGTTCAAAAGTTTGGGGTCATACTCAGCAAGACTGCGTTTGACCATAAATACAATAAAAGCAATAATATTTCGAAATATTGTATTTCTTATTGCATTTTAAAAGAACTGTAATGCGACAGTCTTCAGCGTCACATGATACTTCAGATATCATTCTGATATGCTGATTTGCATTTCTGATCATTATCAGTGTTAAACAGCGCAACAGTTGTGCTGCTTATTATTTTCATGGAAACTGTGGTTCAGGATATTTTTATCAATATTTTACATGATAAATGTCACTTTTGATCAATTTATTGCATCCTTTCTAAATGAAAGTTTTTTTATTGACCATAATCTTTTGAACAGTGGTGCAATTCTTATTATTTTCATATTAGGTTATATACAGGTGCATCTCAATAAA